CAGAAGCCCTTCCCAGATGAGAGAAAAGGGAGTTGAGGAGATTCATGTACCACTTAAGGTTGGAGTGGTTTCGGATGGGTTAACTCCACTATCAGTGTGACAGAAGTTGAGAGGTCCCTCTGTAGAAAAAGCTGTCACGGTGTTGCACTGTGTGTTGTCTCCAGGCCTGCAATTGCAGCTCTGAAGCACATGAGGCCTGTGAAGTGGCCATTCCTCTCCCAAATGCCTGGACCACGCAACCTCTCCCAAAGGCACTGTCCTGCTGCCTTTGGGCTGAGGAGAGAAAACTGGCATGGCAGTTGGGCAGAAATGGCATTGGCGAAAGACCCTGTTCTGTGTGTGTGTATAATGACTGGCATCGTGAGGGGTGGCTCAAGGAGAGAGTGGCTGTCTGGGCCCAGAGGGCAATGGAAGCAGGACTCTGCCAAGGCAGGATGCAGGGGGTGGATGATCTGGGGACAAACTGAGTGCTAACTCACATATTCAAACTGTGTTCAACCTACTCAGTTCACCAGAACATCCAGTCTTGTTAATAAAGCAGATTTGCACATACTGATGAGCACCTGAGAGAATTCAGTATTTCAGCTCAATTATTTCCTCCAAAAGGTTCTTCTCTTAAATGACTGGATGAGTGGGGAGAAAAAACTTTGAGCAAGCCAGACATTGGCTTATTTTTACACAGCCTATGAAATAGTTGAGAACAACTGGAGCACTAGTTCTCCTGTCCACTCCCATAACATGTTTTTATTTGTCTGATTACTACTGATGGTTCAGGTTCTGGAGAGTACCTGTATCTGGCCATTGCATGGAAAAGAAAAGAAAAAAATATTTAAATGAGGTAGCACTGCTCTGCTTGTGATGTGTCCCTGAACACAGATTTCCCTTTACCTCTTAACTGCCATGTAATTTTTTTGGCAACCTTGGTGTTACCCCATCTCTCCACTATGGCCATCTCTACAGGCAGAAACTTGCATTTAATGGCAGCTTCTGACTGCTGCTGGCAGGATTTCTCTCTAATATCCACACAATGCTCTGGAGGGCGTCACTGCTGTGCTTTCAAAGAAAGCCTGACTCATTTGTCAGGGCCGCTGAGGCACTAATAGGCTTTAATGGCCATGACCAGCCTCAGCTGGGGTGTCCCCCACACCCTGGCTCCTGCGCTCAGGAAGTCTCATTTCAGCTCAGCACAGTGGCATCAGTTTGTGCTTCAACTTTGTTACAGCTATGTCTGTGACTAATTGGGATCCCCAATGATCCAGGTGTTGCTGTAGACTTAGTTTCTTTGAGTCTGTGTATACGCTGACTGATCATTTATACCTCATTTATTTCAGCTACTTCTATGAAGTGAAATATGCTGCTATTTCAAGCCTGTTTCGATGCTTGGGCTCTTGAGCCTCTTGGATGTTGATTGTTAGAGCAATGTTTTCACCTTAGGACAAAACCTTGTTGCTTCAGCTCCATAAAGAGGTAAGATCTGAGTAGTGATGAATTGCAAAATTCAGAACAAAGATATGAAAATGCCAATGTTTCTGTGATTTGGTATTGGCCTTCCAAACAAGAAAGCCTCAGTGAATGTGGCATGACTTTTGAAGCTGTGAAGTGTGGAGAGTAGCAGCATGTGTTTTTGTAGCAGGAGGCCTATTTAGCTACAATATTAGCCAAATTGAGACCAATTGGACTTATATCACAAAGAAAAGGATGCTTTTTCATAGGCATAACAGCTAGTAGAAACCAGATATCTTGCCTCAAAGAACATTTTAGGCTGATTAGGAAACTAAAACACAGACACATATTTAATGATTTTCTTTATGTTTACCTGCATTTTTCTTTAGCTAGCAAAGGATAGTTTTCTGTCAGCTCAAACAAACAGTGTCTGCATACCTTTCATATGTTTGTGAATAACTGCATTATAAATCACAAGTGCAAGTGTGTCACTGTGAGATGGTCTTGTCATCTCAAAGTTGAGTATGGTCTACATTTTGTAAATCCAGGCAGAGTCTTGGCATAATTTCTGCTCAGATTCAGGGCGTTCTAGATTCAGAGATACGAAATTACTCCAAATACTCTGGTACAAAAACAGAAACAGCTTCTCCCTTGGACAGGGCAAGAGTAACATTTGGAAGATGGTTCTTGGTTTGTTTATGGAAGGATTTGTACAAACTCAGTGACCCAGACATCCTTTCCAGTGCTGCATTTAGTTCTCTCAACTAATGAGGGGGGGAACACAGGAGTTGAAACCTATCATTCAAAATCCAAGCAGTATTACTGCTTTGTTAAGGTGATTAGTGTGGATTTTGGTTTCAAACAGCTCTCATCAAGCATTTCTCTGAGCTCTGTAAGCTCTGATGCTTACTATCTGATCATATCTTAGTTCTGGTACAGACACTAACTTCTGCCAAAGAGATGAGGAAACTGTGCTAAAGAGAAAGGAAGTGACCTACTTAGAGTTATAGCGAGGGGGAAACCCAGCTTAAGTCAGAACTCTGGTCTCCTTTGTTTTGCTCATAGGCAATACTTCCTCCAGCACAAAGATAGACTCTGCACCCTAGACCCTGTATTGATCCTAACTTCCCCTTTCTCTTCTCCCCAGGGGCTGTATTAAAGAGCTCCACTTTCACTAGGTGCTGTTTTGTGCTGGGGAACAAATGAGCACCGGTCAGCTGACTCCTGATGCTCATTGGTATGCCAGGAGGGAAACTGGCATGCTGCAAGGAGCACTCTCTTTAGTCTGTAGAGTCTGGGATGAGGAAGGGACAGAAAAGAGTGCCATGAGGGCACTAGGATCCAGTGAAGAAAGCCTTCCAAGTGCTAGTTAGCTCTAATATGTCCCTGCTTGTACTGGATGATCCTTCCTATTTTGTTTCCCTGAAGCTCCGTCTCACTGTGTACATAGCAGGGCATGTTTTAGGGGCTCAGAGATTCTTACTTTATTTTCCATGTGCCTCCATGCTGAAAGATGGTTTTTGTTTGTTATTGAACAGTGATGAAAACTCAGGGAGAAGTGACACAGTTTACTAAAAGCTCAGTCAGTCAGAGACCAAGTTCTTGTGTATCGCCTCTCCTTGGAAACTGGCCTCTGAGGAAGAGGAGCTGTATGTTGCCAGCTCAGTTTGATGTTCACATACCAAATACTTGCAACACTGCCCTCTCTGAGTTTTTAACTCAGCATTATTAATTGCTATTATTTAGCAACTATTTTGGAAGGAGTAAAAATTCCTCAAACTTCTTAGCTGCCTGTACACTGTTAATAAGGGCACAGTAACAAAATCAACCAAATAAATTGCTCCGAATTACATGGACTCAATCCTCTCTGCATTTAAGAATTTCAGCACAGGTTGGCTGCTGTGTAATGATAACTGCAGTTACCAGCTGGAGGTTGTACTTGAGTGGTATTTGATCTGAAGTCTGAAAGCACTTGGTCTCTTAAAATGGAAAAACATAATGTCCTTGTGCATAAGTGGATGAGTTCACCTCTTGTTCGTCAAGGGGAGACCCTGAAGAGGAGGTCTGATGCTGCAACTCGCAGCCTTTTTCTCCCTGTCTTGCACCTCACCCATCTTATGAAGAATCTCTGTAAGGCTGCTGCATTACTGCTGCCTCTGCCCTTGAGGCCGATAGCTTGCCAGTTTTATGTGAAATTACTCTTCTGTCCTTCCTCTCCTTTCTTTTGCCACTAAGGGTATTGGATCTGTGCCATAATACCTCTCTCTCTTTCTTCCTTGCCCCCATTATTTTCCTGCATTTTTGATCTCTCAGGATAGGTTGCTTTTCAAAAATCAACTCCATCCTTGATTTTTTTTTTTTTTTTTGGTCAGAGGGGGTGGGGCACGGGTGGTAGATGAAATGAGCAACCCAGTAAGTTAATATTAGCTGATCTCTCTCTGCCATACTTAATATTTCTGTACATTTTTAGGTCAGGGGAGAGCACTAACTCTTTTCTTTGGACTTCTTGTACACCGTTTACTTTCACATTTCACCTAGTTAACGTTGTATTGAGACCTATAGCTTTGATTTCAACTATATCCATCTTAAGAGACAAGAGCAGTCTTAATTAAAAGATACCAAGAGGATCCACAGAATCCCTTGGTAGTTTATTCCAGTAGTTAATCATCTTTATTATTAAATACATATTCTAATTTGGCATGCCTGGCTGCAGCTTCCAGACATTGGGTCCTCTTTTATTTGTGGTTTTCCACATTATGCTAAAGGGTTTGTCGTACTTTAGATTTTCTGCCCAGGAAGCTGAACCTTCTCTGTGATTGAGTTCTGTAAGGGCTGTACTGAAGGAGTTTGTCTCTAGCTCTCAGTTTAGTGGTTGTTTTCTATACCATCTACAATGTCACCTGAACTATGAGCACTAGTCTAGAACTGGATTTGACAAAACATCAAAGCTAAAATGACCTTCATCTCCCATGTCCTACTTTTAAGATCTAGGACTGCCCTATGCCTATGTCTTGTTCTGAAACGCTTCTTGTTTTTGTTCTACATCTTTGTTGTTGTTTCACAAAATAAGGTCTGGGCTTGCTTTAATAAAGAGAAAATGAAGCACTTAATGTATGCCCGTTAAATGATTACCATTCTGTGTAACAAATAAGACAAGGATCTTATGGTGGAAAAACTGCATGTTGTATAATAAAGACTACAGATATGGGAGACTTTAAAAAGCCAGTGGGGGCTAGGGAATTGATGTAACAATACAGTGCAACCTATGTTAACAGGACATAAATGGACTTTCTGATCTTTTTGGAATCTGTTTCATGAAGTAACATAGTAGCTGCTAGCTGTAACACTCTGTGGACTGACATAGAGAGGACACCCCCTAGACCATTTCTCTATCTACTTTAAGAAGAGTAACTGTTTTTCTTCTGGAAAGTGTATGCTCATATTAGACAAGTAAAACATTTTATTCTCTATTATACTCAAGAATTTATATAAAATTTAGCATGTTGCTAAGTGAAAACAGTAAGGCAGTGCAATTAATCCTGAGGAATTAAAAATATAAGTATTACCATAGTACATACTGATACATCCCAAGCTACCCTCCATGGAAAGGAGAGTTTAATGTGCATTAACAATAAATATAGAAGTGTTCTAGTATCTGAATGGATGACATGCTCTTTGTATAGGTTTCTGCTAAAGTCTCCATTTTGGGGGGCCATTTACACTATTGCCTTGTAGATTTAAAGATGACAAATATGTTGATGCTTGCTTTGATTAGTTTCATTTTGATTCCACTAAAATGGTGGCTGCTGTATCAAGGAGCAGAAATCCATTCTAACTACACTTTCAGTAAATTATTAGCCTTTTTTGACAATAACAATGAACATTTATGAACACTAATGAAACTTAATGCTTTAATCTACAGCATAAACAATTACCTGCTCTGAAACATCTGTTGGAAATACTTGTAGATTTGATGGAAATAGGAGGTATCATTCTTCCTCGGAAAGGTTTTGCATAATTATTCTTCAGTCTTACAAACTTACAGCTCAGTAATTCTTTCACAGATCTTGCACAATGAGATAATGTCAATACCAGGAAGTCAGAGTGACAAGGAACATCTCCAGGCACTGAGATACCATCACTTACACTACAGAGTTTTTCCAGTGTTCCCCAAAAGAACCTGAGCGCTGTGAAAAAGCTTTTGCACAAAATTTTGGAGGTTTAAAGAATTTGCTATCCTGCCAGCTTACCCTCAGCACCCAGAAACATTCCCAGGCACATTTAATCCACTAATATAAATGCAGTCCAAGAGATTCAAAAACTAGTGACATTCTAGTCACTATGAGCCCCAAGAGCGAGTAGGAGAATGGGTCTTCTGTCAAGAGGTAATAAGGCACCTTTCCCTTCCCAAAGCTGTTGTATTCCAGAGTTCTTACTTTGGATTGAATACAGATTGAATTTATTTTTTCACTGTTTCATAAAGCAGATAAGAAACTTGACATGTAAAATCTTTTCTACCAAACAATGTAAAAAACTAATGCAATATTAATCTGTAAAATATCAAGTATAGCCTTTTAAAGCCAGAAATAGTTTTTGCTTTTATTTTTGCTGCTGTTCTGCATAATTCTAGACACATGTATTTAATAAAAATTATAAAAATATTTGAAAAATAATGTTATTGACTTAAAGCAATTGGCACTTCTGGCAAAATTTAAGTTGATTTAATTTTCTGTACAAGTTTTTCAAGAAGTAGGTCAGTCTTTTGCATATTATTACTCATATATTGCTTTGTTGAAATGACATGCTTTTGTTCTGAACTGAACGAGGGTCCCAAAATGTTTCAAGACAGAATGTAGAATCCAGAAATTTTGTGTAACACATTCTCCTTGAATCAATATTTGTATTGCATTGTTGTTGTTATCTCTGGACAATCATTCTATTCAGAAGGAAGATGCTTAATGTATTTTATCCTTTGGAAGGCCAAATATCGTGACATAAACTTTTTGATTTACTGAAGGTATTCATTGAAAACTGCTTGGCAGAAAAACTATGTTCCAAAAAGTCTGTGCAAGAAGGAGAATTCCAGAAAGTCTGTTCAGAATTATTTGTTATTGGAAGGTCTTCAGGAAAAAATACCCTCACTTTCCCACAGTTCTCAGTCAAATTATTCATCCTTGATTAGCATCAAACTAGTAAGGAGATCCAGTCTTTGGCAGCCAAAGAGGGCCTTGGCAAGTTTTCCAACTGTAGCACCTTTGGAGCCTTCCCTCATTTCCCACTTAAGCAGCATTTGGTAAACTTTTTCTTTTAGTCCATCTCGTTCATAATCATGATCGATTTCATCAATCTCGGGATCACAGAAGCCCAGTTTCCGAGCACAGTGCTTCCACTGCTTAGCCAACTTTTCTCTCACTAGATTCAGATGTTTGGCAGTCAGGACAGTAGTATCATCTGCAAAAAGAAGAAGAGTGTAAGAAAATGGCATTTTTTAACATTTCTTCTGCTCCTTTTGCTATCTCTCCTGTCCTCCCACTACTATTTATTGGTAACGTCGGAGACAGAGTCTTAGTGATATAACCAGAAGTGGACTTCATGGAGGCAGCATAACCCAGCAATGCCAGGAAAGAAATGCCCAGTCAGAACATGTGTATTCACACATCAGTTGCTGGACTTGCTCTTTGATCTGAAGCTATCATGGTTTGTAACTTAAATCTGCAAGACTGAAAAACCCCTTCCTAGAGTTTCTTAAATAGATGTATGGTGTGTTTTATATTCCAGGACACAAATGATTTGTTTACTTAAGAATACACAGAGATAGTTTAATTTGGTATTGATGAAGGAAAAAAAATTAAATTTCAAAATCTTCCAACTTCTACCTGAGTGAAGTGGTCACAGCTCTTAGATATACGGTTTAACTTTAAGATTTCCCTGTGTGATGTCAGGCACAGGACTCTATGATCTTCATATCTCAGGATATTCTAAAATTTAAACTGTAAGCCAGGTGAGGACCTCCAGTCATAGCCTTGCTTTTACCAATTTTAGTGTTTCATACGTTCCAAACCAAATGATTCTTGGATAATTACATAGGGAGAATACATGAAAACTAGGGAGATATTTTTCTTACCAAATATACCCATTGCTTCATATTGTCTATAATTTGCTTCTGTAGCTGCAGGAGAAGTGCTGATGTGCTGATTGTGCTCTTCAATCTTCATGTGGTTGTAGGATCCAATTTGAATTCCAGAGCTGTTACTAATGTTGTATTTGATTGAGTCGTCTGTATAAGGGACTTTAATACAAATTTATAAACAACTGCATGTGGTTCAAAATATCAAGAAATAACATAAGGAGGAAGAAGGTTCTATTAATAAGGGAAGGGATTAAATGTTTTCACTGCATTAATGCAGAAATAAGCATTTATGGCAACTGTGGGCGCATTTTCACTATGCAGTGTGACACAAATGTACTTAAGTGAAAGCCCAGTCTGTTCTATAACAAAGTGCCATAACGAAGCTTTACAAGCTGGTAGTTACTGGACTGTAAATAATGTTCCCTGTGCTTTGGAAATGTGTAGCAGCAGTCTCACTTTCTGTTGGCCAACAGCTTCAGGGGGTCAGCCTTTACTTGAATGCTTTTTTCTTTTAAACCTTAAAGCTTCACTTCTGCATCTCAGCTTTACTTTTTATAGATGTAGGTTCAGGTTTACAGTTATGACTTTGAAGTTCTGTGAGACTACAGTAAATTATTTCTTGTTGCTCATAAGAAGTGATTAGTTAAACATGTAATTTGGTCTTTTGCTTACTCTTGTCTGATTTCCACACATAACATGAAACTAAGTCACTATTCATGTTAGGTGACATCAGTTTTCTATTTTCTTGACAGTGTTTTCTGAACTCTGTTTGGATAATCATCCATTAAACATTCTAACTCTAGTTTAAATGGTGAATCTCACAACCTGGGTCTAAAATCAAAGTACAGATATTTAAAATGATACACCAAGCTCTGTATTTAATCACACGAAATTATGGTTAGATGCACAAACATTCTTGTAGCACACTCAGTTGCAATGTGAAGTGTGGAAATCTATGGTTATGTTATGTATGAAAATTTAAGTACACTTAATTTTTGTTAACTGGAGGCTGCAAGTCAGAAATACTTGTATGTATGCATGATTGGTTTCTAGAAGTTACAAAAAAAGGAATGTATTTTATCATGTCTCATAACATTATGATTCCTGTAACCTTTTCCTTTTGTAGCTAAAAAAATGAAGAAATCTCATATTTTTTCTATGTTCTTATCTGGTAACAAAATGAATCTTGCATAAGGTAGGAAAATGTGTACAAAATGCTTTGTCAATATTAACAGCAAAACTTATTGTGCTTATAAATCTCCTTTCCCAAGTCTCTACACTTTGCTGCTTGTCATGTTTGTCTCATCATCTAAAGACTCTAAGGGGTCCAAAGTCAAGAAGACAAAAACCTGCTGTTTCAGCTTTTCTTTGTAAGTGTAGACCATTTACAAACTGGACAAGCCTTGAAAGGGTTAATTAAAGAATTCAGGGTGCCCCAAGCAACACAACTTGAAAGAAGCATATATTAACAACTCCTGAAGGACATAACACCATTTCAGGGGTTCAAGACAGTTGAACTGTAGAGACCTGTGCCCCAATGAAGGCTGATCAGATGAAGCCTGCAGCTAGAGATTTGTATTAAAAATCCAGAGCAAGAAAGGACAAAGTGCCCCAAATGCATGTGTGGTTCAACAGTTGGGCAGAGTCACAGCAGCTTGATGCTTAATCTAAGAAAGTGACTAGTTTAGGTGTGCAGGAGATTTTGCAATGCCTTCATGTTTTTAAAAGGAGTTCTTACATATAAGATGTTGTCCTTGATTCATCATGTTTAATGGTGTGTATAGGTTCTGCTAGAGACAGGAATTAGTTTTACATACTGGTACTGATCACTTCAGCTGTGGTTAGAGGTATTTAGCAATAACATATATATTTCAAGTTCCTAAAGTTTTTTGTTTTGCTGGTCAGGATGCAATGCATAGCAGGTTGGCTACCAGGATAGATGAAGGCTACAGCACTTACCTGGGCTTACTCCTGGTGAGCTAGGATAATATGCAAAAGTTCCCCTTGTGAAAGAAGTGGAATCCTTGTTACCTATACAAAGAGAGAAAACAAAAAAATGCCAAAAGCATCACGTAAATAAAAAAGCAAATGTACTTAACAATGACTGCCATATTTGTAAGAGTGAAAGTACACAGTGCTCTAAAATACAGAAAAATGAGAAGCTTTTTAATTAGCAGGATTGTATCTCCTTGAATAACTCTAATTTAAGCAATGATCTCCTTGTGGTTTTTGCTCAGTGACTAATAGCTTTAACCATCCTTGGATCCCAGTGAGGGCAATGGGCTTCCACATGGGTGTATGGATACCTGGCAGTGTGGATCACTGCACACCGCAGTTATGGACTGAGCTGCCTTGTATCAGGTATTCCAATTGGAAAATTCCAAACTACCAAGTGTGCTCCTACTGCTTAGTGCTGACATTGACTGTGGTTTATATTAGCACATTGCTTGTGACCAGCTCTAGCAAAGGCATGGGACATCACTGCATCTTCTGTCGGTGGCAGTAATATCTGGCAGAGATATAACTTCCAGCCCAGGAATGCTCACAGATGAGCTCTACAACTCGTGATAGGGCAGCAAGAGCGTCTGGATTACAGTAACCAAACTAGTCAGTGGAAGAGCTGCAATGCTGTTCTGCATCTTGGTCTGGTATCTGCTACACTGCTTCACACAACCTCCCTACAATAACTGTTTTCCTTATTCCTTTCCAACAGAAGGTCTTCCTTTATTAGTGATGTTGACAGTTCTAATGCCTGCCTTCTGACATAACAGTTCTCAGATTAATTTCAGCAAATAAACTCACAGAAACAACTAATCAGAGTCTCTGCATAAGTAATTTAACAGAATAACACCTTTGTGGCATTCTGCTTGTAAAAAGCTAGGCGTTCTTTATTTTCTTGTGAGATGACCTAGAAAATAATACCATACTAAAAATATCCAATATTTAGTAGGAGCAGGCTAATGTATCTCATGCTATCTCTAGTTCCTAAAAGTTCTATCTTGTAGGTCTCCTATTACCACTTATTTATGTTTTGCCAATGCTCAGTGTTCTCTTCTGTCTCTGTCTCCATACCTTTCTACTACATGGCTTACTAGCAAATACCAATAGAAGCTCCCCCTCAGTACCAGACAGAGCTCTCTGGAGAAACCAATTATGAGCCTTAGCTCCTTGCTGGCTCCCTAAACTTAGGAGTCTCTTGGCTTGCTGCAAATCAAGCTCAAAATACCCATCTAATTTCTGAAATGCTACAAATGCTGTTTTTGAATGAGCAGAACCTATGGTATGAATGTCACATTTCTGAGAGTCAAAGTTCTCCTTTCCTTTCCTAAAATGACTGATAGCAGCTCTTGGTTTTGGGAGCTGCTGTAGCAATACTTCCTGTGTGCTATTACTTGGCTGGTAGCTGAGGAGTCAGGTGTTGGTTATCATGCTCCTCTATAACACTGGTGCTTAAGAAATGGTTCATTTGAAATTAACAGCCTGAAATCAGTGAAAGCAGCATAATGAAGTCAAAGCTAGAGCGTTTCAGAGAGCTAAGTAACCTCAGGTAAACAAAGAGAATTTCATGAAATAAATTCACCTTTGCTACGGGTTGTCCCTTAAGCTGCAAAATGCTCTCGAGCACTTCATTTAATAGATGAAAAGTGAGTTTTCAGAAACACAGGTGTCGGGGAAAGAGGAATCTCACCTGTATCTGTGTCTGAATTCTTCGAATACCAGTTTACATTGGTTTGTGACTGCAGGTTTTGGCCAGATTCTGGCACAGGAGGTTTACTTAGGCTAAAGTTACTGGCTAAACACAATCCATAGTGATCCTCTGGGTTTCCTGTTAGAAGACTGTTACGGTTTGGCCCATAAAAAACTGTTCCCTGGTTTGGTGCTGTTGCAGCTGCCCGTGACCAGAAGTTTGGATCAGGGTTTGATCGAACATGTGGTTTAGTGTTTGATCCTGCCTGTGACCAGAAATTTGGATGGTGGTTTGACCAGACATATGGGTTAGTGTTTGATCCTGTTTTTTCAGCTCTTGGATGCAGTTCGCTCCTCTGGGAAGTAGGAGATGGCTTTGCAAACGGATCACAGGAAACTCTCCGTCTCCTTTCTTCCTCTATCATTTCAGGGGTGTGTAGTACAGGTGGAACTGCTTTATCCATCCGGCTCCCAAATACATGATAGTTGTATTCACACTGAAGTTTTCTTTCTAGATTATCAGCAGGTGCAAAAGAGGTCTCGCAGCTCTCAACAGGCTGGTTCTTGGGGGAGGCAGCAAACAGGGCTTCATTAACGTGACTGGTCTCGGGACCTTGAGAGCTGTGTAGAGAATTAGGTTGATCTGAAAGGGAGGAAAATTAAATATTTGGAAAACATCCAAATTGAACTTGTTGCAATGATACTAGAATCTATTAACCTACCTTTATTATTATGGTATATATAAAAGGTGAAAATATAAAATTACTTTCAGCATAAGGCATTCTATAAAATAAAACAGCTCTACTGGCGAGTATAACAGATTTATATCTAGAAGTACAGATTTGTTTAAGCTGTAAGTGTCAAAATCTCACTCAAGTGGTGTGAGAATTCACTGCACACTCTGCTTATATTGACATTAAGTTTTCAACCACTGAAACAAATATTCCTGAAGGCATTTGCAGGGTTTGATTTACTGGTGTGTCGCCACAAACACTGGAGCTTAATCAGTGCAAAACTGAAGTGTAACAGGATGGAAAATAACACCTCTGTAATAACAGGTATAACTTCATACAGCACAAATAATTTGTCATTAAAATCTTATTTAAAAATGATTATGTAAAGTATCCTGTCTGGGTATTTCGTGATGAATACTTTTTGTCTAGTTTATTCTTCGTGGTCCCAAAGAATACATTTTTACAAGTAATGTCTACCAGATAAAATAGTCTGTGTCATCTACATCTTTCAAACTAATTCTCAATATCAAAAGAAGCTTTACTTCAGTCTTGAACCAGATGGAGTGTGATCTGGATCATGCTGCAGCATTCCAGATAAGAATGTAAAAATCTGCTTGTTATAACTTGTACTTATATTTTTAAGGGTAAGACCACAGATGCTTTCTTCAAGTTCTGAAAGCTTCATACTTTTCTAGAAAACATATTACAGTGCCTAAACCAACTGAGTCTTACAAATCACTGTAAAATTGGAATAAAATGTATGTATGTGCTTCTATTTAGCTCAGATAATGCCAGTGAACTGATTTTTTTATTATTTTTTTATTTTTCTTCCCCAGATTACATGATTTCAGGCCATATTAGGCAGCATCAAAATTAGTTCCTTTTGATGGTTGTATATGAGTACACCTTCAGTCTGACTTGCTCTGCTTCTTCCATTGCCACTGCTAGAGAGAGACTGGGAGGAATAAGCTAATACAGAAATAACCCCATCAAAAGAGACAGTATTAGCATAAATGATACAGCATCTGTTCTCCAGGGAAAGCTTGAGATGTATGAACAGATCCTGTGGGATGCCTTTCACTACCACTGTCTGAGTAATGCCCATTGATTACAGAAAAAAACCCCAACTTTGACTGACAGGCTGCCAAGATAGCATCTTTCTGCAGCATAGATTCACAATAAAGCTATTCATACGTAAATCACAATCTGCAGCAGTGATACATGATTGTTTCTGCTAAGCAAGTGTAACTGTGCTCATTTAAAAATACAGCAGTGGGGCTGCCCTAAGTCCATCAGTTCCACTGAGGAACAATTAGGTTAAACCTAACTCTGGGAAAGATTCATTAGTTGCACGTTACAGTTTAACATTATTCATTTAATAATGTATTTCAAGTGGTGTGAGCTAACGTAGCAGAATTTTATTTCTACTGGATTTTATATCTTGTAAATCAGTGTTGCAAATAAGATCCTATGTCCTTTGACATTAGGAAACTTTGGTAAAAGAATTCCAGATACACTACTACAAAACTTTATCATTAGATATTAGTGAGACACCTCTATAAAATCACAAAACAAGCAATTAATCCAAGCCTTGATAGAAAATAGGAGAGGAAGGAGAGAAAAATTAGTGCTCCTCAGAATCCTTTGAAAGTAAGGTAATAAACAAAGGAATATGTTACAATTATGCATCCTGGTCATATTCAGAGCATTCATAAGAAAGGATGGAGTGAGAAAAAAAGTAAATTAAAGCCTACAGAGCAAGCAGTTGGCATAAACAAAAGGATGGGAAGAAAGATGAAGTATGAAAAGCAATTATCACAGTGACCATTGAAAAGTCTAAAGTTGAACAAAATTTTCAGTGTGGAAGATGAAAGCAGAATACTGTAAAATGGAATGGGTTTGAACTGTAGATGATGGAAAATTTATACTAAGTATGACTTCTGGGAAGAAATTTAATCTTTTCAGTGATTACAATTCTTTCTGAAGTGCTGAATAATTGAGTTTCTTCATAACCCCTTAACAGTAAGGTTACTTGCTTTGTACACAACTTTATCTTTGGCAAAATACGCAGGGACTTACCTACTTCACCATTACTGGTATCTTCTGGTACAGCATCTATTTGGAGGGATTCCATTCTATTCAGCAGCTCATTTGACTCAGGCCATATTTTCTGCACGTGAGAAAGAACAAATGATCAAGTCATAGGCAAAAGCTTAACTAAAAGGAGTACCTGTAGAACAAGGAGTTTAGAGGAAATTTTCAGGAAGAAGCAGTACAATTTCCTTTCCGTAAACACTCATCCTCACTTCACTATAATGAGGGCAAAATCTGTTCCTGTTCTATTCTTGTGATATTCTCATTATTCAGACTTTACTGGAAATAATTTTTTTTTAACGTGGAAAAATTATCTCAAATTCACCAAGTGCTTCTTACTTGTAAAATAATTTCCAAAAGTAGGGTTTGTGTTTGTGGGTTTTTTAAAATTAATTAAACTCAAGAAGTACTTTCACAGATTAAAAGTCAACAACTCCTATCTATCTCTTCCCCAAAAAATCAACATCCTTCCAAAAGCAAAAGGTGACATTCTAAAGCACATTGTAACTGTAGGTCCTTGGATTTTACTTGAGCAATTGAATTGCTTGAGCAGGGGGGTTGGACCAGATGACCTCTGATCCCTTTCAACCGCAACCATTCTGTGATCCTTTTAGTTAGGAGGCTGTGGACTCTGCTTGCATGATTGCTGGGGAGGAGGGAAAGGAAGTTATGCCCAAACCCTCTAACTCATGTTGCTACTGAAGCTGTACTAGTAATTCACCATATTGACTTGCCTTGCATGCTCTATTCACATTCTGTGCCCTCATTGTAATGGATGCTTTCCTTCCTGAGAAAGTAATAAACTCACAGTCCATTTTCTGAATACTCATTCTGTCCCTATGACTTGAGAGGTACATCTGTAGAGAGCTAAGGAAGCTACTACAATTGGCCATGATCCTGATTTGGGGCTGCTATTATAAATTAGACATATATACTTCACATTGTAAGTCTGGTCAAACCAGACCAGGAAATCTGTTTCAGCAGTTTCATTTTGCAAAACTCTGTTGCTTTTTTGAACAGTCACTGGTGCTTTGTAAACATCACATGAAACGAGAAACTTTCATTACCACAATTGAAGACTTGGTGACAGAAGGAAGCACTTTCAAAAAATTGTAAAAGAGTGGTTTCACAAGGAAGTTTTTTTTTTCCCTTAGTTAAAAATACTGTGTATGTACTGTTCTGAGCCTCACTTCACTGCAAAGGAGTGAATGCCAGGAGTTCTCACCAACAGCTGTCAGTACTAGTGAAGTGAGTAAATTTGTAAAATCTGTAATAAAAAGGTTCCATAATCAGCCTAACTGTTCAAGAAGTTCTTATTCTCTTATTTTCAGTCAGGAAATGATTATTTTTATCATAATTTATAAAGTTACAGTCAAAAAAGTAAGAGAAACCAACTTGGACACTCAGGAAAACCACTGAATTTAAATTTTACCTGTGGTATAGCTTTCTGGTTTCAAGCAGGCTGAGATTCATTAGACACTGCCTGAACACAGGACAAAAATTACCAAGAATTTTAAAAGTTACTTTAAATCATATTCTGCTACTTTTGAATTGCTAGGAATAACATTTTATTTCATGAGTGAGACTTAATGAGGAGCTTTTGCAAAGTATCATCACAGAATCAGTGTGTCACTCAGGTGGAAATTGACCTTGGGGGATCTTGGGCCCACCTCCTGCTCAAAACAGGGTCATCTATGGGATCAGAGTTGGTAGCTCAGAGCTTTATGCAATTGGATATTGAAAACCTCCAATGATGCTGACAGGACAACCTCCTTAGGTAAGTTGTTCCACTGCTCAGCTGTCCTCAGAGGGAAAAGCGGTTTTTTTTCCCCTCTTACATCCAGTTTGAATCTCTCGTTTCCATTTCTGTCTGCTGTCTCTAGTCCTCACACTATGCACTGCTCTGAAGAGCTTGGCTTTATCTTCGCAATAAACTCCTCATACATAGGGGCAGCTTGCTATTTCTTTATGTTCCCCAAAGCCATTGCATGTCTGGGCTGAAACAGCTGAAACAAGTGCTGAGCTGATCTGCTTCATCTGCTGCCTGTGACTTTACTGGTGGTAGTCAGGCCTTGGCTGGTGCCCAGGTCGCTGCTCACCTGAGCATCTTCTCAGCAGTGCTGCTCCCTGGCTGGGCAGCCATTGGTTGGCACTGAAGCCAGGGGTTATTTAATTCCAGGTGCAACATGTTGTATTTGACCTTTCTGAATCTCAGAAGGTTTCTGTCACCACATTCCTCCAGCCTTGTCCTTGTGACTGTATTGCTTTGTCCTTCTAGTTTGGTGTCACCTCCACACCTTATGTGTGGCTCCATTGCTTTCTATCACCTCGCTGATAAAAAGAGTACACCAGGGAAGGTCCCAGACCCCTGCACTACTGCACCTGCTACTGGCCTGCAGGTGAAGTAGGACCAGTTAACTGCTGTCCTTGGACACTTGCCATCCAACCTGTTTTCATTTCCTCATCCAGACAGTAACATCTGAACTGAGATACAAGAGTATTTTGGGTGAGAGTGTTGGTCTTCCAAAAGTTGAGATAAATGACGTGCACTGCTCTTCCCTCATTTACAAATCATTTTATCACAGAAGGAAACCAGGTCGATCAAGCATGATCAGTCTCCAAGTGGCAAAATCTGGCCATAACTGGGGTTGGGAAGAGGGGATGTGGGGAACTGACACCACAAAATGCTTAGAAAGTTACTCACTTTTAAATTCTTCAGATCTTCTTCGATATTTTTTCCTAAATTTTGGTAGTAAAATGGCTTGTATCTTTCACTAATTTCTGCAAAAAGAAAATAACTAAGTGGAAGTGGTTTTCAATGGAAAATAAAAGTGACATAATGTTAACAATCTTGATGGATAAGGATTGAATAAAGACTTCTATCAGGTCAGAAACAGCAAAGTTATACATATATTTGGAATTTGTTCACATGGTACATTTAGCCTTAAAACAGTAATAAGAACAGGATAACTTCCACGGGGTTTTTTTTGTTGCTGTATTTCTTTTTAGGGTGAAACCTCTCTGTATGTGACCTGTAGCTGAGAGCACCTTTCCTCGACTTGCATATGGGAAAATTAGAAGCTAAGACCGAGTACTAGCATAAGCTTAATCTATTAGCAGTTGATTATGTATGTTAAATATGGAGATAGTAGATGGGTTCCTCCTGTTTCACAAATTTCCTCTGAGTATTTAAGTACATGCCTGCCATATATGAAGCTGTTGGTGCCCCTGTCTAAATACAAACCTCAATTTCCTGTTATATGTTGGGGTTTTCTTGGAGGGTTGTGTTTTTTTGTTGTTGTTGTTTTGGAGGTTTTTTTGTGTCAGCTTTTTTTTTTTTTTGGCACTATATATTGAGATAGAAAGAAGAGATGAGGAGACATAGGATTTTGACTTATTTCCTGAATGCTCTTATAATTTCTCCTTCCCAGACCATTCAGCTAAGACTTCTACTGACTGCAAGTGTTTTGGGATCTGACCATATGAAAGGATGATGAGCTAGTCAAAGTCAGTTGGAGTGCTTATGGAACAATTACTAGGACAGCTTTTGAATCTAGAATATTTTGAATAGGATATTTTCTCAGTCATAGTCAAGATATACTACATCCCTTAATGTTAGCTTTTCTAAAAATTTCAGCAGGAAGATTATACTACACTGAAGAGAAATTATCATCTGGTATAAAGTGTCATAGCTTCATCCACTCACTAGTATTTCTCAAATCTGTAAATGCTTATCCCTGACCAAAAATGGTCAGGGTACAGGAAGTATGCTTTACAGGGCATTTGAATTGATATTTTGGTTTTCAAAGAAAAAATTTATATTTCAAGAGGAAAACACTCGAGTTTGTTTTGCTCCATTGCAAACTATTGATGGACATGAAACAAAAAGAATGCTAAAGCAATGCCTTCCTTACCTGCAAAGGTTGGCCGTTTCTCTGACTCTTGCTCCCAGCATTGTTTCATTATGTCAATAACTTCCACTGGACATTTATCAGTGATCTCCTTTAAGTCTGGTCTGTTTCCATTTATGACGCCAAAGCAAATCTGGGCTTCATTTATACCATCTGAAAAATAAAATTTCCTATCAGATCCTGATCGCAGGTTTTGCTACCTTTCCACAGGTAAAAGAAACAATGAAGCAGCTCCCTGTGTGTTTGTGGATATGTAAAAATGGTTTAAGAGATGTCCAAGTTACATCTACAGATATTTCTATATATTAGTGAATTTGAATCCACTGCCTTAACTTCCATGGATTAGAGATTTAAGATTAATGGATTTACTTTTATGTGTAAAATATGCCCAGTGTGAGTAAGGGTGACAGAACTAGCTCCCTAGAACCTGCATCTTGCTTATGCTCTGCACTGGGTATGAACACAAAGATGGCCACATAGGTAACACTTAGCCATTCAGTTAGAAAAAAATCCATTCAAAATTATAAATGCATTACTCTGGAATTCCACAGTTGGCTCCTATGTACGGCTAACATTAGTGCATGTTGAGAAGTTAGCACCACGCAGCTGAGAAGTGGTAACTGTGTGTGATCATTCCTGTTGAAAGAAAAACCCACGTAACTAGTCCACCTCAGGAAACAGTGGACGTCAAAGTTTCCATTCTGGCCCACATGAGGTTTGTCTAACTTCTGCCACTGAGTCCAGTTTATACCCACACCATACAGATGTGAATAGATTCAGCTCACACCTGCATTTCATTCAGATGTTCTTGTCCATGCTTAGGAGTGAGGAATGATGCAACTAATGCCTCTTGCTGGCCATGAGGTGCCAAACAGGCCCTATTTTAGGCCATGGGTGATTTAATCTACTAATCTTAATTTTATAGCTTTAAATGCTTAACATTTGTAACGTCATTTTGTGATAGCATTCTTTCAGAAGTAACTTACTTTCATATGGTTCCTTGTTAGCAAAAATTGCCCAGATCACTATGCCAAAGCTGTAAACATCTGATTTTTCCACTGGTTTTGCATTAACGCTGAGTAAATGCTCTGGGGCCATATAGAAAAGAGTCCCAGCATTGTTCTGGCAAGTGCTCTTGATTTGCTTCTGTCGGACAGTTTCTTCATGGGTTAGCTTACTCCAGTTCTTAAAGGAGGCAACACCGAGATCTGCAATCTGAAAAATTAGACATGTCAGAGCTAGTGCTGTAATGAAGAGGAGATAAACAAGTATTTCATGCAGTGCTCAATTTTATAATTATTAATAATAATATAATAACTTACCTAAAAATGAAACACTAGAAAAAATGCAACTAAAAAAAGGAAAACAAACTATTTGCTTTTTTTGGTTTGGTTTGGTTTTCTTTGGTTGATTGGTAGGTTTGATTTGGGTTTTTTCCCCAAATAAAGTATCACTGCCAACTGGGAACCATTAAGCCTTTATTATTAATGTAACCCTACTTGGAACAATTGCATAATGTAAGGATAGAAGAAGTTTGGTTTTGCCTGTATTGACAATCATGTTCGAGGTCTGTCTGCAGTGCTTGTGGGAGAACAGAAATTCATACAAAAAGAAGCTAAGATTCAAATCTAGAAGCAATCTATGAGATGGGCAGACATCCCTCCTCCCTCACTGCCCTTTCCATTTAGATTTCATTTAACTCAACTTCCTTAGATCTTCCCACACAAAAGGGGAAGAAGGGGATCTAAACCAATGTGATGTGTATGACAAAGAGAGATGGAAAAGGATATCATGGAATAAATTAAAGCAGGGATACCTGGGTACTGTATGTTTGACAAGGTGACATTACCAAAACTTTAGGGTGCAGTATTGAAACTAGACTAATGGCTGTTGATGAAGAAAGAAATCCCTCCCTCCTTTTCCCAGTCTCCTATTATATGCTCCCTCTGCTCCTCTTGTTCCAGCACGGACACTTATCTGGGAAGAACTAGTGCAAGGCATGCAGCCAGCTTGCTGAACCAAGTGTGCCCCAACAGAATGGTAGCACTGCCAACAAGGTAAATAGTAATCTGCTGGTTTGGCTTCCTAAATCAGGACAGGGTGATCAGATTAGCACCACTGCTAACACAAGGGAACAGAAGGTCAACAGGAGAGGAAAAATGAAAGAAAATGAGACTGTCTCTCTTGGCCACAGGCAGCTGTCAAACAGAGCTGTGTAACCCAATTACTTCAAGTGAAAACTGAGGTGATATCCTGGCTCACTTCTAACACACTTTTCCTTTCTCTCTTGTTGCCTCTAACTAGCTTATTGTTCTTCTTGTGTTTCTGAAGCTTTGGGCTGCATTTAGAGGTCATGTATTCAGAGGAAAATGTAGGTGACATGCTGCTGAGGAAGTAGCATGTCCAAAGAGTCTAAATTCATGTCTACAAGTGAGAGGAGGTTTAATGTGATAGAGGAAGATATGATATAAATCTTTCTACATTTGCAGTTTCCTAGAACAACTACTTCCTTTTCTAAATATTGACAGTGTTAGACACATTTAAGCAGATGGCTTAACAACAGCCGCCTTAAATGATACTTTTGATCAACCTGCTTAAGGAAATCTGGCCTGATTCTGAATTTAATCTTAGGTTCCACCTCAGTTTGTCATGAAGTGTGATGATAGCCTAGTTTGGTCTGGTCCATATAAGCAAGCTGAAACCCCAAACCCCGTCCAATTTATATTTAAAGCAGATCATGATGGGGTTTTTATTTTTGGAGAAATAAAAAAAATTTAAAGAATTCTTATCTGCAAACTGCTCATACTGCACTTGTTACTATATCAACCTACTATACTAACAATTCACTAATTTATGTGTGAGAAATAGAAAATGACAGAGAGCTCTCTTCACAGAAATTTATTCTGTAGTTTCAAACTGTAATGGGGTGGTTATTTCAACAACTCACCTTGACCAGAAACAGGATATTTGATGAGGACTGCTGCATATTCCACTCAGGTTTATTCCGCAGTAGCCTCTATATCTATGTGTCTTGATCCAAACCCCCTCTAAAATTAATAGAAGGGCTTTGGAACAGGCTTATAAGCCATTCTTTGAAGTAGTGTCCTGATGTTTTTTTCTTTTTGTAGCTGCTGGATGTCATTTTAAAAGGATGACTAAGGAAAAAAGAGGGATACAAAAGAGGAAAAGATAATAGGCAAAAGAAGGAAAGAAATAAAAAGAAGGAGCTAAAGGCAGGAGGAGAGATTACAGCAATCTAGGACAAAAGACATGATCCATAAAACATTCCATTTTGTTTCAATCTCTGTTTTAATGTTTGTTTTACCTTTCTAGTTGTTTTGTTATTTATAGCTCATTAATTCTCAATAATATTATTTTTTAAATGCCTTTAGTGATTTTTTACACAGTTGGGGGAATACTCTGCAAATCTCAGACTCAGAGGTTGTATAGGCTACCATACTTCAATGACTCATGGCTAACACTCTCTTAGTGACACTCTCATCATGATAGCTCACTAAACTACTCTACCAATCCTGCCACTTTAGGAACACTATGCAGAGCAGCTGAACTGAATTCTTCAACCCATATCACCAGCTTTCTCCATTTACATTTTAATAAGTACCTTAATGTGGAAGTCTCTGTCCACAAGGATGTTTTCTGGTTTTAAGTCTTTGTGTACAAAGCCTTGCTCATGCAGATAAAGCATTCCTTCTGTGATCTCCAGCACAAAACGCCCTTTCACTGACAAAGGCAGTGAGAGCTAAAAGAAAGAACAAGAAATGCCATCTATTAAAAAATGCAGCTACAACCATCAAATTAAAGCGCAATCTTTAAAAAAAGTTTCCTTCTCAGTCTCAAGAGTAACTCTGCTCAAGCTATGGCAAAAAAGAACTGCATCGCCAGCTGATCGAGAGAGGTGATTGTCCACTCCACACTGGTGTGGCCTCACCTTGAGTCCTGTGTGCAGTTTTGGGCACCACAATATAAGAAGGATATAAAGCTACTGGAGAGCATCCAAAGGAGAGCTAAGAAGATGGTGGAAGGTCTAGAGGGGAAGCCATATGAGGAGCAGCTGAGGTCACTTGGTTTGTTCAGCCTGGAGGAAGCTAAGGGAAGACCTCATCATGGTTTACAGCTTCCTCATGAGGGGAAGTGGAGGGGCAGGTACTGTTCTCTTCTCTGTGAGGACCTTTCTGGGAGAATGGCATGAAGCTGGGTCAGGTGAGGTTTAGACTGGATATTAGAAGGTTTTTTCACCCAGAGGGTGGTTGTGATTTTTGGGGTTATCCTGTGCAGGGCCAGGAGTTGGACTTGATGATCCTTGTTGGTCCCTTCCAACTCAGGATATTCTAGGATTTTAAGGCCCTTCTTGGATCTAAATTTTGCCATTAATGTAAATCTAGAGTCACTCCGTAATTACAGAAGCATTTTTCTTTAGAAAATTCTCCACATATCTCTACAAACACTTCTATAACTTTTTAACCTGTAACTGGTCTGCTCCTCTGTGATGCAAAGGAAAGCCATAGTCATTGTCTGCTCTAGAAAAGGCAGTGCTGCCACTGGCTTTTTAACACAGAAGGAAGAATGAGAAAATAAAGGCTCCATTCTCTGGAGATGGCAGGAACATCCTGTCCATTTCAAACACCTTATCAACCCTAAGAGATGAAGTAATTGACTGCTCACTTGCTGTAGCACTTTCATCATGTTTCCCCGGTCCACATACTCCATCACAAGTGAGTAGTTTCCATCTTCCAAAATGATACCCAGTAGTTTTACCACACGGTCATGCTGCAGTCTGCGCATAATCCTGCCTTCTTCAAGGAGGGAAACGTTGTATCTGTAAAACAGAAATTACATTGAACTTAGGTGCTGGGCTAGAAAGAACACAGGGATGAAAATGACATTGACTCATAAGGAAAACAGTGGCCAAAAATGTCAACATCCTTAGAGCCCCTGTACGATTAACCATACCTTCAGCTGATTTTTAATTGATACAGCTTTGGTCAGGCCAGATTATATTCTCTAAGACTCCACTCTAATGCCTTACATAGAGACTGTCTGCTCAGCCTGATTTTAAGGCCTGCTTTTCAGAAAGTGCATAAGCATTCTTTTTATAGGTGCACTGCTGGTTGTGTATGTCCAAATCTTTGAACAGGGGTGGGATCAGGGTAGAGGTGAAAGAGCCTTGGAACAAGGAGGGTCAAGACCTCCTCCACTACCTCTTCTACAGGAAACTTACAGAGGTCTCGTTTCTGAAGGGCTGATATTCATGTTCATGTTCATGTTCAAAATGGATTTATTATAAGGGATCCATCCACACACTGGATGATAGCATTTGCTAACAATTACTGGTTGAGGATGAGTTCAAAGCCCAACTCTTTACCTGGGCCTCAGTACAACCCATGAATAATCACAGGTACATAGCTGGGAACTCACTAAGGGTGCTAAAAAACGGATAGTATCCATTATATAATATAGAAGGTGGTATTTTTACTATTGCTCCTGTTCTAGTCATCAGACAAAAGCATGTAAGAAAATCTCAATACTGTATTGTTTGCTAATGCTTTCCTACCCTGTGACTTAAAAGGACAAAATTATGAGCCTGTCTAGTGAGAAAATAAAAACACAAACCCAAAAATAAACTTGGCAGGCTTGTCTATTTTAACTGTATTCATCCCAAACTGCCATTGCAGTCTACAAACTACTAGAATCTCTTAATTTGCTTTCCACTGGCAAAATAAAAACTCAGTTTATTTATTATAACCCAAAGTAGAAAAAACATGGACTTTTGTCTCTCTCTAGGGGATGACTCATGGGAGAGCTTTACAATTGCTATAGCTGTGAGGTAGTAGAGCTGCAACGTGACCTGAATCCACTGAAATCAACAGCTAATTCAATCCTTGAATTAAATCAGTGGGCTTAGCTCGCTCTGCTTTTTTCTCAAGGGAGAAGGTTACATTCTTGGTATTACACATGAGCAGTTGGAATCCTGTTGGTAGTTTATGTGCGTTTAGTTTCTTACCTACAGTTGGATAACTGTATTGTAAACATATCTGCAAGTCTGAAAATATCATGTGGCCACTGAGTTCCTGCATTTCCTTAAGTGTGCAAGAGTCCTCTTGATTCTTAATAATTCACAGTAGTGCTCCCCTCAAAATGAAAAACAGGAACTTCACTTGAACAATAAGCTAAAATTTAAAAAGTTGCCTTGCGAGGGGAAAAAAGGAAAATTTGCAGGACAACTGCTAGCATTATCTTATTTGCCTCATATACAGTATCTCCAGAAGCCAAAGACCCAAAATTATTACACTCTATTTAGATTTATCTCCACTGAGTTTAGCAGACTTACACTAACTGAAAGATAAAAATCAGAACTGAGATCTGTAACTTACTCAGTGCGCTGTGGTCCTGTATACACTTTTTTTAATACTACATATCCATGTTTCTTGTGAAAGCATAAAGAAATGGTTCCAAATCCTCCAGCATCTAATTGTTTTTGTTCAAGCAAATCCTGGGTGTTCATGTGGATGTCTTCCAGAGACATGTTTGCAGTCTTTGTGGCTTAGCAATGAAAACTAAATCAAGTACCGTAGTGCTTCTGGACCTGTAGCATAAAGGAGGAAAAAGAAGTGTCATGATCAGGCATTTAGCTGTTCCACTAAATAAGTGTATATGTAAGCATAAACTCTTGTGACCCTTATGAACAAAGTTGGAAATCAAGGATGCCGTGGTTCTTGCAGAATCATGCCTAAAGATCACAATGATTTATCCTGTCAATCCACTACAGTTATATTAAGTTGATGTAAAAGCATTACTTCACCTGAGGATCTCAAAGTGCTGTTAATAAATAGGTTTTATCCATATAATATGCAGTAGATGGGTACTGTCCCTACACTTCATATGTGCGAAACCCAAAACCTTGAAAAATCAAGGGCAGCAGTCCCAAAGGGAGGTAGTGCCCAATAATTCTGATAAATATTTATTTCACTTTCTAAATTGCCTTGACATGGGCCTGTCAGGTGCCCAGATACTTATATAACTCTAAGCCATGTTTTAGGCATCTTTGAAAACACAGCTCTAAAGAGTTTGCTCGAAGCTTAAACCAAACAACCAAACAAAAGTGTTCTCTGGAGGGTGAAATGAAGAACCCAGCTTCTGTGGGAAACTTATTTTCACAGCTGTCTGAATTTAAGGAGACAAGTGCTAGGAAGGAATTTGGTGGGGTGCATGGCAACTTCTCCTCCACCCCTCAAAAAGAAGAGGAACAAAGAAATTTTGAAGGCTTATAGAAACTCCTAAGTGCATCAAGACAAAAAGAGCGTTTGGGTATCTATGAAATGGGTAAATAAGTAAACCCCAGTGGATGTCAGATTAATTTTAAGCCTCTGGGAAAGCTGTGATGCTCTCTTGCCTAACATGTCCCTCAGGAGGTAAAACTTTGAAAGAAGGCTAGACAGCCCATACCTTCAGCACATGCCAGCAAGCTGCATTGGTAGCAATGGTGCAAGCCACAAGCTCTGCTTTTCTTCCTCACTAAATTTTTAACTTAAGCACCTTACATCAGGTAAAGAAAGAGTTTGCTGAGAAAAAACAAAGTCCAAGAGACTGGCAGGGTTGTTCAGTTTCCATTCCTCTTGGGTAATTACGACACAGATATACAGAACTGGGAGAAAGGCACCATTTCAAAGTGCCACCATCAGTAGATTGGCTTGTTTGGGTAACTAAGAGCTCTAAATAGTGTAGCAAAGGGATTCCCCAATTTTTCAGACTAACTAATGACTGTTAACTCCTGTAAACTACTGTGCACCTGTATCATCAAATCTCTAATTGAAAAGATTGCTTGTTGTGAACATCAGCTGCAGCCTAATTACAGCTGCCCAATTACCACAGCCTCTTTCTGGAGCCTAGGAACTAAGGAGTGAAAGTGAGTGGGGAAAGTAGGTATCCACAGGAAGAGATGCGTTTAAGTGCAGAGTTGGAAATTGTCTGATCAGTTCAATATTGACAAGCCAAAACAGGGAAGACTAAATTTAACTAAGAAAAAAAAAAGTTGTGCCTGTAGAAGAATAAAGCAAGAGCTTCCTCTTCCAAGGCTCTATGGGCTGTTGCAGTACAGATAGGGAACAATCTCTCTACATCTGGAGCCATGTGCTGTCTTCAGGGTTTTCTTTGGCTTTCCTGACTTCAAAAGGATGCAGATTTTGTTTTACTGGAGTGTTAGCCTGCATTATGAACGCAGGACTGAGGACATGACTGCATTCATTTAGTAAGAAGGTAAGCTCTGCTATGCATAATAATTGTTAGAGGAGATTGTTGTTGTGTTTTGTTTGTTGGGTTGTTTTATTATTTTTTAAATTCCTTTACAATTAATCAGATAGCAGAATAGCAAATTACTCATAGCAGTGCCAAGCTGCTTCTCTCACAGGTCCCTGGAAGCTTTTGTGTCCCTGGAAGTTTCTGGTGATGGTTCTCTAGATTTCTTAGGGTGGTGCTCCTGACTTTTGTGCAGATGGGGTGGATGTAACAGGTACAAAGGCCTGAATTCAGTCACGAGACTTTAATGTGGCATAAACTAACATTTTGCTTCTTTATCTGGAGTCTCCTCTCAAGAAATTATTTGAAGCCGCGTATCTACGTTAATTTTTCCGTGCTAACAGTAATTTTATGCACCTAGGTAGTAGTTATTCCTGTAAGAATTGTATGCACTTTTCTTGTAAATGCAAAGTAGATGTGTATTTTTGAATGGTGAATCTCTAGACTTGCACTACTACCACTGATAGCTTGGGGCTGCCATTCAATACCTGACAAAAAAAAATACCTGACAAAAAACCAGCTCTGCCTCAAAGTGCAACAATAAAAAATCTTGTTCCTATTTACATTGTGAATACCTGTTCCTACCAAGCAGCATATAACTGTAACTAGAAGTCTTGGAAATTCAAAAGAAGTAATAACTTCTGAAATCATAAGCTATCTGCTGAAATGAGCTGAATAACATTCAAGATGGGAGGGAACCCTCCTCCTTGGGTATGCTAGGATGCTATTACTGTTTTTGTTGTTGTTATTAAGTAATGAGGTACTCTGAATAGAAGCTCTCTGACCTAATGACTTATTTCAAAACCAAAGTTTTTTTGTAGATTGAGTATCACAGGAAAGCAATCTCTAGCCAGGCTTTAAAGCAAAGATTACTTATTTCAGTATACTATTTAACATGAGATACTGGTTTATGCTACCTTGAAATGTCAGATGGCAAAAAAAATCAAGGCAGGAAGCTCAAAGACTCAAGTTCATTCCAACCTTACTTCTTTTTACTGAGATACAGGGTAATTCATGTGTATCCTCAGTACTTAGGATATACCAATGCATACATTAAGTATCTGTGGTTAAGAGAACAGAAATTTTGCAGTTTGATTTAGCCTACCCTTACAGAAGCTACACATACTTCCAGGGGTTAATTTGTCTTCTATGAGGTAGCCCTCAATACCTGATTGATTATAAAGCAATTTTTAAAATATACTATTCTGAACTAATCTATATTACAATGGGTTCATATTTACCACGTGCCAATCTGTGTTATGAAAATTCTGAACACTCGTTGCTAGAAGTGAGGAATTTTTGCCCACCAGTATGACTGGTGTTCTTTAGAGAGGGATAGGAGTGTAATAAGTACGTTTGTGGCATTTTTCTTTGTAACATCATGGTTATGTCCTCTCCTCTAGCCCCTAAGAGGCACAGAAGTTCCCTAGAGTCATGAGCTGGTTATTAGGTCATATCAGGCCTGACCACCATTCAGAAGCAGTTTGCTTGGTTCTATTGATTTGTTACTGATCTGATGCAGATCCGACATGGCCTGTGTAGTTAAGGAGGATTGCTGCGCACATTAGCGCAGTAATATGAAAAATGGTGACACGCTGATTGCAGCCTTTGTGGTCTAGCGATGCTTTCAGCACATAAATTCTTGAGAGGTGTTACAAAGTATAAGTGGAGGAAACGAATGTGTTTTCAAGCGTCAAAACTCAAGGCCACTTAGTTATCAGTAACACAGGGGAATAAAAAACAGGAGGCAAAACAAGTATCTCCAGTGTGGGTATCAGGAGATAAATGGAAGAGTTGCTACAGCTGAAGACAGAAAGACTGCATGTGTGAAAGATGTTTCAAAAGCTGTCAGGGCATCTCAACTCTACTGCTGCAACTTTCCTAACCAGTTCCATCTAAACCTTTCCCTTCCGCTCAGGTTTTTCAGCTCATGTTTTCACTGAGGAATGATTTTTTCTTTTTTTTTTTTTTTTTTTTTTTCCTTTTGGAAATAGCAAAGAAAATACCTGTGTCAAGATCATGAGTACGTTACATAAAGGGGAGGAGGAGCCAAGACCAGAGAAGCAAAGGTGTGACAAAACATGAGTTATATTAGGAGCAGAGCAAGAGGGAGCATGGAAGGGGACAAGTGTGGGGTCTGTGCAGTGGCCGTTCTCGCACGGGACTTGGAACAGGCTGTCTGGGCAACGACACCTCGTAGGGCCGTGGCTGTCAGAGACAGGCGCCGGCAGCCGGGCCGGGAGCGCCGAAGGATCCGCTCGCCCCAGGGCCGCGAAGCCCTAATGCGGGGCTCCTCCGGCCTAGTTCCTCGTTGGCCGACTCGCCTTGTCGCCCTTCTCCTCCTCCTCCTCCCGCGGCTTCCTGCCGCCGCGGCCGCCTCTCCTCGCACGCACCTCTCCCCCGCCCGCCGCTTCCCGTTCCCCCGTGCCCGGGCGACCCTCCTCGGCGGGGCGGGATGTAGCGCCGCAGCCCCGCCGGGCCACCTCTCCTCGGGGCCCGGCATCCCGGCAGCCCCCCGGCACCGCCGCCGGCGTCGCCGCGGTGCTTTCAGTTCCGGCGTGTCCCGTTCCCGGCCGCCGTGCCCTTACCGCGGGTCCGACAGTCTCCTCCGTCCTGCCGCCTCCCCCGGAGGGCCCGGCAGCGGGCTCCGCCCTCGCCGCCCCCTGCGGCAGCGGGAGGGGGGCCCGACCCGACCCGGGCCGCGCCTTCTCGGAGCACGGGAGGTGCCTGGGCTCGCCCGAGGGCACCGCGGAGCTGCCGCTGCTCCGGATGCTGTGCAGTCACTCGGTCCGTGCGACGCAACGCGCGCCCTCCCACCGGGAGAGAAGGGCGGGAGCCCTGCCCGTCCTAGCGCCGCCGCCTGGGTGAGCCCGGTGCGCAGTGCGAAGGGTGACAACCTGGCCACGGTACCGAGCCCGACAGCAGCTGGGTGCGTGTCGGAAACGCCTTTCGGTGTTGAGGATTTGGTGCTGAAGATGTGTGTGTGTGGGGGGGGGTTTGTTCGGGAAGGGTGGAGGCAGGAGTTTGTCAACAGGGTAACTGTAACACGTGCCAGTCCGGGGGACAGCTGGCGGAAATAGATAACCTAAAAGGACCGACAAATACCGTCTAGTCCATTCTCCTCGGGAGGTCGGGTATGTTGCTAACACAGGTGTTTTACATAAGACCGATGGCTTTGCTATTCCAGTGAAATGAAGGTGATGATAAGTGTCTACCCTCTTTGCCATGATTTTTCCCATTGTGGGGAACTGTTACACTCCCCACTGTACTTTGCAGTGGAGTTCACGGCTCAGTATTACCAGGCACTACCAGAAAAACAGCAGATCAGTCCGGGACAGTGATAGCAACCCACAAATTGTGTCCTTCATTTCGCCCTGTGATGGCCAGCAATGTAGTATCTGAACTCCTAAACCATCTATGTACCCCCATCTGCTCTTCTAGGAGAAGACATGGTCTGTTTTGTGTCTTCTGGTGGCCAGCACGTGCATCTGCCAGGGGCACGGGACTCCTGCCTGCCAGCTTCCTGAAATGTGTCTCTTTGGAAAGACAGAAAGGACACAGTTGGATGTGGACACCTGTGGTTTTGGAGAGGTAGAATAACCTTGGTGATCACTTTCAAGATGAAGTTTTCTCTCTCAGTATCGAGACTGCACTGTGTTGGACAAACTTAATAAATGGCTTCTATTTGAGATCTCTCTCAAAAAAAAAAAAAAAAGAGGAGAGTTATTTTCTCTCCAAAAAAAAAAAAAAAAAGTTGGCAGTGGAACTGGCGCATGCCCTGTTTTCCACTGATTCTTGATCAGCTGCTACTGAGACAGGAGTTAATGCTCCGACAGCTCCAGATGCAAGGGCTGATCACACCTGCTGTAATGAGGAGACTCAGGATGGAATCCCAGATCACCAAACTAAGCTCACTGCAGTTTGTATACAGCCATTTCATGTACGTTCACACTGTGAGGTATCACAAGGACAGTGTTACTGAACCTGCAGTCCAGAGACACTGGGACATTTGTCAGCTAAATAAAGCAAATGCAAATAAGGATGTGGTATCTCTGGTGGGCCAATCGTGCAGCTTTGGTCTTTTGCAATCCCAAACATTACAGAAATCTTTTGATAACATTTA